GGTATAATCACTAGAAACAAAGCTAGGCTCGTAGCTAAAGGCTACAATCAAGAAGAAGGCATTGATTTTGAAGAAACTTATGCACCCGTAGCACGTCTAGAAGCTATCCGTTTATTACTTGCCTTTGCCTCGTCTATGGACTTTAAACTGTACCAAATGGATGTTAAGAGTGCCTTCCTCAATGGTTTTATTCAAGAGGAAGTGTACGTTGACCAACCCCCGGGTTTTGAAGACTTTGAGTATCCCGAACACGTCTTCAAACTCAAGAAAGCGCTCTACGGTCTTAAACAAGCACCTCGTGCTTGGTATGAACGTTTGAGCAACTTTCTTTTGGAAAATGGCTTCCAAAGGGGGAAGGTTGATACTACACTTTTTATCAAGTGTAAAAATGATAATATCCTTTTGGCACAAGTTTATGTAGACGACATTATTTTTGGTGCTACTAATGAATCTCTATGCAAGGAATTTTCAAAATTAATGACAAACGAGTTTGAAATGTCGATGATGGGAGAACTCACGTTCTTCCTAGGCTTACAAGTTAAGCAAATGAGAGATGGCACATTCATCTGCCAAACTAAGTATTGTAAGGAACTCCCTAAGCGTTTTGAAATGGAAAACGCAAAAGCAATGGCCACACCTATGAGCACGTCCGACCATCTCGACAAGGACGAAAAAGGTAAGGAAGTTGAGGTAAAAAAATATCGAGGTATGATCGGTTCCCTTCTTTATCTTACCGCTAGTAGACCGGATATTATGTTTAGCGTATGTCTATGCGCAAGGTATCAATCTTGTCCAAAAGAATCGCACTTAACGGCGGTTAAACGGATAATGAAATACCTTGTGGGCACGACCAACGTTGGACTATGGTATCCAAAAGGTTCACCGTGTCATCTTGTAGGCTACTCCGACTCGGACTTCGCGGGTTGCAAACTAGACCGCAAAAGTACGAGTGGGACGTGCCATTTGCTTGGTAGTTCTTTAGTCTCATGGTTTAGTAAGAAACAAGTTAGTGTTGCTTTGTCCACTACCGAGGCAGAGTATGTCTCCGCTGGGAGTTGTTGTGCTCAAATCCTTTGGATGAAGCAACAACTCGTGGATTATGGCCTTAGTATCGATCACGTTCCTCTTCGTTGTGATAATACTAGCGCCATAAGCTTGACGAAGAACCCCGTTCTTCATTCAAGAACAAAGCACATTGACATTAGGCACCATTTCATCAGAGATCACGTTCTCAAAGGTGATGTCAAAATTGAGTTCGTTGAAACAAAGTCTCAACTTGCCGACATTTTCACCAAGCCTTTAGAGAAAGA